AAGCACATTTTCTCCTAGCAAAGACAATCGACTTCTTTGGAATCCACGAGAGGGTTCAATTCCAATCTTTTAAGTTAGATGATCTACAACCATCTATCTGGCACTTGTTGATGCAGCAATAAATGAATGCACACCCCAAAAGTCAAATGCCAAAGGAATTGCCTATTGAACGTCTCAAAAAATTAACATTGATAGGTCAAATTTTGTCGATGGTAATTAAGATTTTAACTAGTCCTAAGCTAAGAGGAGAACGTGATTGGCATAGTCCTAATTTTTCCAGGTTAATTAGCATGTTTGTGTGGTTCGATATGACTCGCATTTCACCGTGAACTCTGCGAAAATTATTGACGCTTTCTTGGCGTGTTAAGGTTCCAATATTAGCTACGTTAAATCATTACTGTACAACCATATCGTGGTTGACTAGCTTTTGTATAAGAATGCTAAATCACCGCTTATGTCTTTTTCGACCAAACCCTAGACATGCATTGAATGGATCTATCTATCTGTCTGCAACCTGAATCATGATGATGGAACAGTCAATTACAATAAAGACAGCAGTTAATCCCAACAACAGCACATGTGACGACCCAATTAACCTCGGTTACAAACATTTCTTGTTTGTTAATAACATTATCTCTTCAACCATAAATGATAATCCTACTACATCAAATTAAACCCTGATCAGTAACTGGTCAAGCCAGTGAAATTGGTCTTCCATCATCCGAATTGAATTTCTTGGTTCTTTTTTTTTTTTTTTTTTCGGGTTTGCCCAACAGGCAGTTGAAATCATGCAATTCTTGTTCATGGGTTGGTGAAACTTCAATCATTCGATGAAGATATCTTCATAGGCTCTGCATCAGATTCCCACGCCACAATGTTTGAATAGTCGTTGCATGCCAAACCCGTTTTCCATTTCTGGTCCGTCCAACATTCCAATTCTGGAATCGTTCAGCTTGATTATATTCACTGTTTCGGTAGTTTGGTTGTCCATCTTGTGTGATGCAATAGTAAAATTACCCATTTGAGTATCATGTCAGAATATTAGCATAATCTTTAATTAATTTTATGTTGATTATCTATGGTGATTGCGTACAAGACAGCAGTCGTGACAAAGTCCAAACCAAAAAGTAGCTATCACTAGATTATGATGATGATTATATGTTTATATTGATCTCGTACGATAGTCATCATTCATGGAGCTTTCTGGTATAGCCTTTCCAATGGGTTCTATCTTCTGCAATATATACTAGTCGTAAGAGGTCAAAATTAGAACCTGAATTTCAGGCACCTTTTCCTCTGAAAACCATCCAGTGTAAGCATGCATAGCAAGAAAATGAAAGAAACTTTCTTTTGGGAATAGTTAGTTTTTACTTCTAAGAAGGCTGTGAATTAATTATCTTGAAAAGTGTTTTCTAGAAGGCGCAAGGCGTTGGGGCAATTGGCATTTCGTGCTTCCAGTCATTTTTGTCAGCAATCCCCATTTTTGTACAGTACTATATTTTGCCGGTCATTTAAGGGTGGAATGAGCAAACAATTACAGAGTAAAAGAGCCCAGTTATGCTTATCAGAATTTTCTACAATCAATCTGATTGAGCCATCTGGTGATTAACAGCTAAGACAATTATGCATCCAAAATTGAGGAAGAGATTAAAATGTGCTCAGGCAATGGTTTGGCCTTTTGGAAATTGCTTTATTAGATAAGCACGCATCAGGAAACGAATGTCTATTAAAGGTGTGCAGAATAATTAATGTCCCGTTTGTTAGAAGACCAAGTCGCAGAGCCAACATGAGTCAACAAAAAATGCATACTTCAGACCACATGGACATTGTCCTTCTTTACACCTTTCTATACGATTCTTTTTTACCAGCTTTTGAGATTACTTGGGGCCAGGGTTATAAACGAATTATTACAAATCGAGTGCTTAACAAATAATTTGTTAAAAGTTCGATTTGTTGAAGAGCTCGAACAGGAATAGAGATCCGGTTAATTATCGAATCGAATTCGAATACATTAATAAGTATTTGGTTCATTACAGTCAAGTATTGGTCTCCGCACACATAAGCATTGCAAAGTATCTTCTAGAACTCTTTTCTCCTCTGTCTTTCTTGAACTTGTCCGGTCAAAATCTCCGTCATCTTCTTTCATGAGATAGAGATCAAATTCGGTCTTTTTCCATAAGAGTGCGCGCACTCTCTCTAATTTTTAATTTCTTTTGTTTGAATAAATTTTCTCTTAGAGTTTTCGAACGAAAGATTCTTCTATCTTGCGATCTCATAATAAGAGTTTCTTCTCTTCTAAATTGTTCTAACGAAACTCTCCTAAATTTTTTCTTGTAAGAGTCTTTTTAGTGTTTTATCTTGTTTGTAAGATTTAAGATTTGATAAATCTAGAATCTAGTTTCTCAAAAGAGCAATTTCTCTATTATTGTCAAATCTAAATTTTTCTTTGAATTTAAACCAATTTTAATCAGATCTAACTATCAGAAGACATGCATAGATGTATAAAGGCTACAATGATTCATCCAAATGGAAGATAAATAGGAGCAATGTTATATCTATTGATTTCAGATCTACATTTACCTATGTCATATTTGTTTGATGTATTTTCTACCATTAATGGAGATTTATTGAATGAAATGATTTTTTCTGTCAAAAAATGGTATTTGGCTCGTTAAGGTTCAAATATTTTTATTTTTTAAATGATATTTTGTAATATATCATTAATAACTAAATACTTTGCCGATGAGGTTATAGTCTAATAGCTAGGGTTGGGATCCCATGAACGAGAGGTCTTAGATTTAAATCCTATTGTTCTCTCTTCCCGTTTTTGTGTTACATAAATTTAAAAAAAAAACTAAATACTTGTAACTAAGGTTGAGATCCTGGAACTAGAGCACGGTTGAGATCATGAGAATTAAAGGTCCTAAATTTTAACTCTCCTGTTCCCTCTCCTTCTAGAAATTATAAAAAAAAAAAACTAAATAGTTTTGTGAATAAACAGTATTGGAAATTAATTTTTTTTTAAAAGTTGAGTTTTCAAATCAAGCTTGAACTAATGAAATATTGAATCTAATCGAGCTAGACGCTTAGAACTCATATTTTGAGTGCACAAACTCAAATTTTCGAGTCGAGCTTAGAGGTGCTATCGAGCCGAGTCGAGTTTGAGTAGCACCATACTCGAGCTCGAGCTCGATCAAAATTTGTGCTATTCGAGCTCGAGCTCGATCGAGTAAAAAAATTTGGACTCGAGCTTGACTCGATGAAATAAAACTAAACTCGAGCTCGACTCGTTTGAGCTCGATTAAGCTCGAGTAAATATCAAACCCGAGCTACTCGAGCTCGAGCTCGAGTTTTGAAATAAATCTATAATTTTTTTAAAATATATAATATATAATATAATATAAATAAAATATGAAAGCTCGATTAAACTCGACGAGCACTCGAGTATTTATTTTTTGAACTCGAACTCGACTCGTTAAATTTAACGAGTAGCTCGAGCTCGAGTCAAGCTTTTGATTAAGCTGCTTGCGAGCTACTCGCGAGCAGCTTGACTTGCTAGCACCCCTAGTCGAGCTAACGTTTCGTTTACTTTACAGTCCTACATGGGCCTGTCCTAAATGAAGTGTATTAAAATTCTTCTTACTTTTCTTTTTCATTTTTTTTTGGTAGACAGCATAAACTCTCCCTTAGATTAAAAAGAGGTCAAAATCCAGTTTCAAGAATTAGAGAGAACGTGCTTTAAAGTTATGAATTGGCATTCTCGTAAAAAAAATATCGAAATTATTCACGACATTTTGCCTCTTTATTTGGTAAATTTTGCTTCAAAAAATGTGGTCGTTTCATCTTTAGCGTCCTCTTAAGTTGGCAATGGGCAGCAACAGAATTTGCCACCTGAAGAAACATGTAAAAATTTGACCCAAAACAAAAAAACGTGTTATCTGCAATCTTAGGCCCTGTTTAGTAAGTGGGTTTTTTTGGATGTTATTTAAAATTTTACTGTATCTTACTGTAGAAGTTGTAAAAAAAAAAATTTTTAAGTATGTAAAGTTTTGGATATTTTGAAGTGTATAGTTTAAAAACTTTAAAAAGTTTTTTGAGGTTATTGTAGTTAAAGTTGTTAAAAAACTTGTAACAGGCAAACTTGGTCAAAAACTTGCTTGCAAACAAGACCTTAATAACAATACAAATCAGTCTTTGGGCTTTCCCACGGGCGATTTACTCTGAATTCTTAACAATTGGACTGCAGTGCTGTGGGCCTATCTCAACTTCCAACCTTCCAATGGGCAACATATCCCCCTAAGAGACTGGACTGACATAAGCTAATGGGCTTTCATCAGTTGGAAATGAACCCTTTTCCTTTTTTTGTATTTTTCTTTTAGGCATTGGAAATGCGTTTCAAGTGCTTAGTTGGAACAATTTTTTTGATTATATCATAAACTCGTTTTTCAATCGCTTTTTTATTTTAATCTTCTTGACTATTCTTTCTTAATTACATACATCACATTAAAAAAGAGTAAATCTTATATATACTAACCGGGTATATACTATCACAGTTGAATATACGACACATATACAAAATTTGAGTTTCAAATTCAAATTCGGATTACATGTCATGTATCTAATGGTGAAAATGTATACAGTACTGAGTGTGTTTGGATTGTAAGTTATTTGAGATATTTTTACTGTAGCACTTTTTGTGATGTGATGTATGTGAGATAAAATGGTAATTGCGAAGATAAAAATGTGTTTTGGAAATTGTAATGGTGATGTAAGCAAATATATTTGGGCAAATAACTTACAATCCAAACACACTCACTATCAGTGTATAGAAAATTAATTCTTAAAAAAAATACTACAATATTGTTCTAAAAATATTTTTCCAAATGATCCTGTACCCAAACAAACTCAACAACCAGATTTAGTAAAATATTAAATAAATCTTGGTTACAATTTTACATTGTAATTCATTGTTGTAAATGAATTGAAACCAAACTATAGTATATTAACAATAATCTATGCTATGTCAAGAATTTTGACTATGCTCTGAGGCTTTCTTCCTATAATCTTGGACAAGCCCTTCATTTCCAGCAAGCATCGTGTACTTGTCCCTCCTTGTCAGATTAGTGCACTGAAAACCCAATGCATCACCCAATCTTCTCTGTATATAATTAGCCACCTCATGGCTTGATTTCCCAACAGAAAATGTGATTTCCTTGGGCAACTTTTCTAGTACATAAATGCTGTAACAAGGGTTAGGGTTCATGCCCAAGAAGATTGAATCTAACCACTTATATCCACTCACCGTCGTCCCATAAAACATGGATGTATATGTATCCATGGCAACGGGAACAATCTCATCCGTTAATTCCGCGAACAAAGAACTGAATCTCAGAAGATAGGGTTCTCTGCAGGTGGTTCCTTCAGGGCATATGACTAAATCACCTCCGCTCAATAATTTCTGAATGGTTTTAGCATCTTGGTTTCTATCCCTTGTCAACCTTACAGTTCTTATTGGTGACACCATCTCAGAGAATTTACTTAGGCTGTAAGTCACAGCAGTCAAAGGCTTTTCCAGTGCTCCAAAAAGAACTACAGGGTCCATGAGGGTCCTGTGGTTACACACATAGAGAACTTTTTTCTCACTTTCTGAACCCAATGGCTCAGACAATCTCAACTTTAGTTTTCCACCAGTTGCTAAGATCAAGAACTTGGCCATCTTGCAAGGCAAGAGTAGAGCAACTGAAAATCTGAAGATTACCAGTATTATGCCGAAAGGAAGCCAAATGAACATGGTGAGAGTTGCAAGAGGAGTTGGAAAGAAAGCTAGCCTGCCATCATGAAATATTAGTGGCCTTGGATATCTCTCCCTAGGCATTATTGTGCTTTCACAAGCTTTCCTGTCATCCTTGTGTACCACATAGGCTTCCTGCAATCATGAAGATCATGCACATTCAGGAAAAAAAAAAGACAATTCGAGCAAACAATACCCAAAAAGGAAAACCGAAAGAGGTTGTTACTTTTTATTTGTCACAGGCTTATAGAATCTTAGACATAATAACTCGGGCAAACATCGTGCAAAAGAGGGCATTTTGCGGACCAACTAATTGAGATAAAAATCTCTGTGTTTGACAACTACCAATTTATAGCTCTGACTTTTAAGTAACTATGAGTGGATTTGGGAGTTCAATTTCAGTTTAAAGATTGAGCTGTCAATAATACCGTGATTTTAAAAAAAAAATGTTTTATGCTTAAACGTTGCCATTATACATGTGTAACTGTGACTTTAGATGGTGGAAATACATCAATATCATGACAAACAATTTGTGAAATAAATTGTATTGAAAAAAAAAAACTCCTTTTATCTTTTGTGGTCAAGCATTTATTATGTATCTTAATTCTCAATCACTATACTGTATTCGATTGTATCGCAACACCAATATATATTAGAATGTTCCATGAGGGGGGAAAAAAGCTTGTGGTTGGGGTGCTTAATGAAAGAAATTAACCACCTTGCACAGAGAGACAAACTGGTGGTCATGATGATCTAAACTTCCTACGCCAATGTCCGGCAAGTTTTCTCCACAAGATTCCTTGAGCGCTCTAGCCTTCACAAGCAATCCCGAGCTTGATACCAAACCAGTGAAAAAAGGGCCAATGGTGTGCAATTCAGTTCCTTTAACAGTTTCAACACTCAGGTACTCCTTGAGAAAGCCTTCAACCATAACCCTAGGGACGCTCGTGAAAACCAGCCTTGATCCTGCTGAAGCAAACACCTCGTAAACAAGAAGATTGATGTTTTCGAGGTAAAACTTTGGCAAAACAGCCCTAGCAACGACAGCCATGTCTCTCAGCCTCAGTCCACAAAACGTGATGAAGATCATAACTCTTAGTTTGAGGTCGAAGCTCAGAACCCACATAAGAGGATAGGATGAAAGCAACAAGAATGCCCTCAAGATGCTACCGCCTTCAAATGCCACCAACAAGAAATATGGAAAGAAGGAATGATCAGACCTCAGCAATGTGATGATGTCACAAACCAGTTTTTGGGACCCTCTGCTATCTAATGTACATTCGGTCACGCTAGGATATGAAGAAACTTGATTCATTGATTCCATAATGGGGCCTTGATGAAAGATCCCAATTTTTCTCACCTTAAATGCAATTCTGTAATGTGAGGTTGCCCAGTAGATCAGCTTGTGCAGTACCATGACACATTTTTCTCTACTGCCACATGAGATCCGCTAGAGCGTATGTAATTGTATGCATGAGAGTGTAGGCGGAGAAAAAAAACAAAAAAGCACACAGCGGAAGCAATTTTAATACATAAAAATATGTAAGAACAGGAGGAGAATAGATACATACACTAGCACGTAATTTAGAGAGTACTAGGAGGGCTCAAATCACACATGAAAGAAAATATACAAAACCAATTACTAATAGAACTAGACATTGCCTATACTATAAGGAAGCTGCACTTACCAACTGGCACAATATTTTGAACAACCAACCATAACCTTTAAAACACAAAATGAGAACAGATCAACAACATGCCACTAGAAACTTTCATGAAGACATATTAGTAATTAATTACTACATTAAAAAAGTTTGGTTTAATTTTTTTGCATTACTTCCCTTAAATCAAACTTGTCATTGTAGTTATCTCCAATATCATCTCGAACTTTCGTTTCCATAAAAAATTCTATCATTGCATAAACGATGTGAAATATTAACTTACAATTGATTTTCAATTTCGTATATACATTATAGTTGACGAAACTTGTACTTCTCGTGGCATCATCATTTCTGTCAAGAAACTCAAACATGTTCATCCATACTTCATTGCATACTCCATAATTTAATTCATCAACATTACTAAGAAAATCTCACAAAATCATAAAATCATTCTTTCCACTGCCAAAAATTTCAACTTCACTATGAACTTGCTCGAATTCGTTCATATCAACAATCACACTAGTTTCAGCAATGCCACAATTTTCAACTAACTTGTCCATTCCACAATTAATCTGTGACAGCCCCACCTTTCTCTAAGCTGAACCAAAGGGTTTAGCGGACCGCCTGCCTAACTCTCGCCAGAACTACGGAATCGAATCACACAAATCCTATATTACGCGCGATAGGACCCAAAAAAATTTTAACGATTGTAGACCGCCAAGCTTAGAAGTAACTTACCAAAATCACATGAGGGAAACACTTTCATGTTGATAGGTTTACAAATCAAATGGAACCCTTGAAATGAAATACATTTAGAGTTTGCCAACTCTCGAGGAGCTATACAAAAGAACAAAAGAGTATCTAACTAGCTCAACTCGCGTCTCAAAATCATGATTTCCAAAAGGGGTTCCTGTAAGGAAAACAAAGATAACGAGGAGGGGGTGAGCTTACGCTCAATGAGGTACCAAACATGTAGCAGTAAAATCATGGCATTTCACGTTATACAAATCAAATACACATGCCCGCTATAAAGTAGAACAATTAAACACAAGGACTCAAATAGGAAGGATACAGGTGGCTCTCAGGAGCCAATTTTCTAGTGCAGTACTTGATCCAAACCGGTTGACTCTCCGTCAACATATATAGACCAATGCGTCCGTAGACCCCACTTTACGCCAAATTCCGTCCACCAAACACCCCTTACCGGGCCCGAACACCTCAACGGAAACAGAAATGGTAATACTCGAGTATACCGGAATCAAGAGTCTCAATATCCAAAGATTTCCAGAATCAGACTACCGTGGTTCGTTATCTAATCGACAAGACCCTTGCTAGCTCGACTCGAGTAACTAGCCACAGGTTATGAGTTCAAAGGTCACAAAAAGGTCGTTGGATACAATTCTCCAAATGACGTCCAAACAGACTCAGGTACAGATATCAGATTCAAGTATACACAATAACTAGGCATACGGACAGACAAGAGAACGAGTGTGATAAAATACACCCTCGTATCAAACGGAATAAACAGATAATACAATCAATCAAATCACAGAGTACATGTACGGAAACCAAGTTAAGCAACAAATAAGGGGAGTGGTACACTCATCGGTTCAAGTACAGATACTTCAAAAAAGTTTTCACTTCACTCTGGCTTTAATCGCCAAGAAACCCTAAAATCATTAAAGTAAAACAATTAAAGGTTTCACATCCAAAATCGATTAAACGGAATGCACAAGTGAGGCTCGACTACAGGTCGTACGCCTTTCCAGGTTAAGTACTAGTACAAAAGAATAAAATATGACTTTTGAGTAAAAAAAGATAACAGTTGGTTCTAGGGTTACAAACAACTCCCAAAATCCATCATTTTTCCCAAGACTAACTCAACTTAAAAAAATCGCGTAGCTCTAAAATTTTGGGCAGCATGCCCTCTGTATTTACCTATTTTCCATCCATTTATGGCTTCATGTTTTCCTCAATCATTTCCAAAATCACACACACACTACCAAAATAAGGCCCGATAGAACGTATAAATGTATAGCCAAGCAAGGGACATGTGCGGAAATGAAGTTTACGTTAAAAAACAAAAGACAGTTTTGATGTTATTTAGCGGAAAGGTCGTAACTAGAGCTACACTTATTAGATTGGGGTGCAAGTTATACCGTTTCGAAGCTAAGACAAAGAGCTAAAACTTTGATGAAGAACACTCAGTCCAATTTGTAGTGTATCTAAGTCAAAATTACCATTCATAGAACCAGAATCTCACATTCGGGCTGGTTAACCGCTTTATGCGTAAACAACAATAACTCAAGCTACCGAAGTCGAAACGAGGTGATTCTAGGGGCGTTGGAAAGATAAGACATATACCTACATTTATTATGAAGACCTCCAAGGCCAAATCATGTATTTTCATGGTAAAAAATGAAAAACTCTACGAAAATAGAAATCTGGGAGCGAAACAGGGTTCATGGACAGTCAAGGGTATTTTGATCATTTCACAGGCTACGGTACTAGGATCGAGCTGAAATTTTGCAGGAAACTAGTTGATACCATTGACTACAACTTTCATGTTTTGGAAAAATTCTAATTCAGTAAGGATCAGGGTGAAAAGTCACGGTCAGATTGGGTGAAATGACAACCCTGCTCGCTGAACTCCTACCTAGGCCAGTCTGGGTATTTCCGACTTTTCACAAGCTTCCGAGCTCAGATTGGGCTGAAATTTTATAGGAAAAGTATAAAACATCATTCTCTACAACTTTCATGTTTTAACCTAAGGCTAATTTAGCCTCTAACTAGGTGTAACAGTACCAAGCAGAATTAGGGAAAAATGAAACCCTAATCTGGAAATTTTGGTACAAAGCGGAAATTTCCGCAAATAACTACAATTTACACACAATAGCTTCATTCTAAGCTATACCAAGTTATCATCCATGGTCACACAATATTAAACATATGAAGAAAAATCATGATTAAATAGAAAAATGTCATCAATCTCAACTAAACTCATGAAATAATACCTAAATTCATCTCTTTAACTCATACTAGCCACAAATTTAACACTATCAAGAACACAAGAAAGGTTCATAAGTCACTCACCTTGCAACTCAAGAGAAGAAACAACTATGCACCAATTCCTTCCAAACCACTTCCAACAATAGCCACACAAACACTAAACTAAAGGTTTTTATGGAGGAAATCTAAGTTTAAACGGTTGGAATTGAAAATTGAGCAAAATTGGAGTTAAGAAAGTTGAGAGAGTTTTCTTCTTTTCCTCTTGAAGAGAACCGGCCAAGAACCTTGAAATTAAAGATGATTTTTGGTCAATTTTGATTTATTTGGTAAAGTAATGAATAGTGGTCAAAAGCAAGACTTAATCTCCAAGTGACACTTGTCACTTTCATTAAATGGATGGCTATCCTTTTGTCTCTCTCACACAAATCCATTTGGTAACCTCTAATTATCTCATAACACCTGGTAAAATAAATCCAGTATCCAAAACTTAACTTAATTGACCGAATTTTTTCGAACTTTCTGCACTAGTGGGTCCCACGTCCGGTATACGCTCTTAATTTTTCAAAAATTAACCGATACTAGAAAAATCATTTTAAAACTATATTTACTCATAAAACTTATCTAGAAAATTTTCCTAATAAAGAAAATGCAGAAAAGCATGCAATTAAATAGAATAAAACTTAGAAAATAAGAAAATTACAGGTCCTCACATAATCGCAACCAACTTCAATATTTGATTTGCCTTTCAAACAAATTATCAGTTCCAATAAAGTTAATATTTTTTTTATCTTGCCACAAGCTTCAATCACATCCTTAATCTCACTAATGATTTTGTTTTTTTTTTCTCAATCACTTGTGAAATTTTCTTTCGAATCACCAATTCTACATCTTCATGTGCACCTACAATTTCTTCTTTCTTTACCTTATCAAAAAATTCTATTTCTTCTATTTTCATCACAAATTTCTTCTCTATCAGAGCCACGATTAGAAATTATCAGAATTATCCAAGCCTCCCTTGCCATCTTTGCATGTATGAACTTTTTGTCAACTATAACTAGATTTTTGTAGCGATATAATGGAATTATCCGAGGCTTAATTTACAAAGAAAATAAGGACTGTTCAGGTGACTCATACTAACACTCAATTGGTCGTTACGTTCCACTCACTATTAATTAGGTCCAAAAACAGAATAAAGATGTTCCTAATTAATGGAGTAGAAGATTAGATGTTTGGCTTAGTTTTGATGATCAGTCCATCATCATCAAATCAACCCAGCTCAGAGTACTTTTCTATCAACGTTCTTCTGGCTGCGAGACTCCGAGTTTAATCTTGATGCAGAATTAACTATTAAGCGCTTAAGTGGTTGTTAAATTTTACGCTTTGCACGATTTTGGTACTTATGGGAGCAAAAGTATGGACTTCAACGTTATGTTGGAGATTCCAAAAAAACCCAAACTCAATGAGTATAGGGATATCAGCCAAAAAATCACAGACAACTGCATGTGATCACTTGTCAATCTACTTTTTGTTACTTCAGATTTTTTGTAGCTAAGTAATGTGTAAATTAGAATTTGCAGCACTGGCCAATAATATTTATGCGAAGTATGCCGAATGACTTCCAGCAAATGTAGATTCGGTAATGCAAGACTCCCTATCTACAGTAATCATGAAAAAGAAAAAAAAACCATTATAATCATACATTTTTATCCCTTTTTTTTTATCAATTTCGTTACACTCTAAAATTTTT